ACATAAACGCAGTGCAATACTAAACATAATACAGTGCAAACAAACCAAACCAACCACCCACAGATAACAGTACATACAAGCAAGCGTCGTCAGGCAGGCCGGGTCAATATCAATTGGGCAGGTAGGTACAGGGGGAGCAAGCAGAGAATGGTCGGGGTCACAGGCCAGGTTCAGCAGGTAGCAAGCAGCGTAGTACAGAGGGTCAGGCAGAGGGATGGTCAGGGTCACAAGCCAGAGATTAAAACAGGTAACAAGCAGTGTAGTACAGAGGGTCAGGCAGAGGGAGAGGGACAGAAACAGGATGCAGGACAGATACAGGGCCCAGGACAAACACAACACCAAGGCAGAGTCTGTGGGTCTGGCCATCCCTTAAATACCCCAGCATCATCAGTTCCAGGTGTAGCTGGCTGAAAGGTTGAGTCTCTGATTGCTGGGAGCACCCGCTGGCCAGCCCTGGTACTGCAGATCAAAAGGCAGGTGAGTCCCACCATTGCTGGCCAGTCCATTCCTAACAAAGGGTTAGGTGTTAGGGTTAGTAAATATTTTATTTATTGTCTTCTTTTTATTTATTTATGTTTTTGTTAGGGTTAGGGTGTTAATAATAATAATAATAAATGAATAAATAAATGTAAAACAAACAACCGTGTTGATCTAGTAACCACATACAACCCAGCACTAGAAGGAATAAGAAAAATAATCAAAGATTTACAACCCATCATAACAGAGGGTGGAACTCTGAAAGAAATATTCCAGCAACCCCCAATACTGGCCTTCAGACAACCCCCCAACCTCCGAAATAAACTAATCAGTAGGAAACTTCCTTCTGATCTAGAGGTCACAAATAATGGAAGCGAACCCTGCAATAAGAAACACTGCAAACTGTGCAATCAAATCAATCCATCAAAAAGTGTCAGACACTCAAAAGCGATCTTCAATATCTCCGGCTCATACAGCTGCACCTCCAGTAATGTTGTGTACCTTATCCAGTGCAGAAAGTGTAGCAAAGGATCTTATGTTGGCGAAACAGGACAGAAGTTACAAACAGGGATGAATCTGCACAGACATACCATCAAGGAACATAAAGATGACCTTTGCACACCTGTGGGACACCATTTCACATAAGACCACACTTTGGGAGACCTTGATGTTTTGGTTCTTAAAGGAAATTTCAAATCCATTCAGGAAAGAAAAACTTTTGAACTGAGAATGATAATTCTATTTGACACAAGAGATTATGACCTTAATTTGGACATGGGATTCCTCAATCATTATCCAACATTTTTATGACTCCCTCTGTGAGTGTTGTTTTATCCCCTCCCCCCCCAGTCTTTGCTTTTGCTTTGCTGTGTCTTATCTCTAGGCTAACCTTAGGCTTGCATTTCTTTCTGCTTTTTTTTTTCTCAATCCCCACATATCTTCTAACATGCTGCTAAAACTTTGTAACAGTACTGCCTGGACCTTGAAGAAGGGGACACTCCCCGAAAGCTTGTCCTCAAAATTGTATGTTAGTGCAAATAAAAAAAGTATCACAGACAGTACTGAATTGTTTCTAAAATAAATGCACAAATAAATAAAAATAATCATAAATAAATAAAATAAAATAAATGAACAATATATCATAATAAATAAATAAATAAATAATAATTCATGCCTAACCTTAACCCCCTAACCTGCTAAAAAAATAAATACATAATAATATTAATAACATAATAAATAAACACCCTAACCCTAGAACAAAATGTTTAAAAATAGTATTATTATTATATTTTCAGGTTTGGATATTTCTTATTATTTTATTATTATTATTATTATCATTATTATTATTATTCATAATTTATTTTCTTTTTTTTAAGGTTAGGGGTTAATTATCATTTATTTATTATTACATATTATTAATTTATTTTATTTATTAATTAATCATTCATTTCCATGGAAATATAAACACTTCTAAACAAGCAAATCTGTCCGATTTGAGTGACAAAAAAACTCCAGAACTTGTTTGAGCTTCAGGCGTTTGGCTTCAGGCTACTTGAAGTGAAGATGTGAACCATCTCCATCGCAAATAATATATTTTTTCTCCTCAAGTGTTATGGAGCTTCAAGCTTTGAGATACAAATCGTTCAAGAGTGAATGGGGCTAGAATTGGCTGGGATTCCACTATTTAACAATTCAGGTTCTGCTGTATATCGACCAATAGTGGAAGTTTCCTTAGTGACACAGAAATTTTGAAGACACCCCTAGTAGCAGCTGAAAAACATCCAGTGTGCATGAACTCTAAGGTTCCTGCACCTACCTTGTCAGTACTCCCCTGCTGCTAAAATTAGGCGCCTAGGTATTTTAATCCCATTCTACAACCTATTCAACAGCCTAACCCTGTGTTACCAGTATGACTCTCTTATGCACAGTGCAACCTGCTAGTCCTGCCTTCAGATAGTTGCTCCTACTATAGGTTTATGGTTGCAATATTTTTCTAAATCATGGTGTACCACAGCTAAAGGGAGTCCTATAGAGTGTGTAGTAGCACTGGGTGTCACTGAGAGCTATGGGATGCTGGAGGCTTTAGAAGCCCATACATATATGTAACTTCCACTACTCAGCAGCACTGTTTCCATCGTTTCAAAATCTGATCACTTCCAGTACTTTGGGGTTGGTTTACTAAAGGCAAATAGGTTGTTCACTGCAAGAGAAATGCAAAATTCCTTCCATCTGCCCTAAATGTTTCTACAATAATAATAATTAAGGCGTCACTTCCCAAGTGCTCGGTCCTCCAAATACACATCCAGGGTTGAATGAATCCCAGTGCCTTTCAATCAATTTCTGTGAGCCCAGGCTATCAGTCGCTAGATTTGCCTGAGCTGCTAGTACAGTGCTATATATCACAGTACTTAAATATTACACCTGAAATGCCATTCTATGGAGCAGTGAGGGTGCAGAAGAAAGAAGGAGGACCATACCGTCACATGACTGCCTGGAATTTTCATTCTCAGTGAATAAATTACCTGGGAGAAAGTGCGTGTTTTATGAATGTGCAAGAATTCAGTTCATAGCTATCAACATCATGTTTCAAATTGTGTTTCCCTGTGATACACAAAAGGAAATGCATTAACATCTTATTGGTTTATTTTATAGAAAATGTATGCTTAGTTTGAATGCAAATTGTAATTTGCTATTTCTGTAGCCCTGATGAAGGGAGTGTATGACCCTTGAATTGTGTTGGTTAAGTTTATTCAAATTCAAATAAAGACTCTTCTTGTTTGATTTGATATGTTTGTCTTGGATTATTATTATCATCCTCAGGTTGATATCTGGCATTACATAGCCTTTATAACCCCCTTTTAATTGATTAATGCTCATTGCATCATACAGTATGTCTGCTATTATTGAATTGTCTTTAAAATGTGTTCATTCAAATTCAGTTCAAGAATTCTTGTTTGATTGGATGTCTTTGCAGTTCCTTTTTATTAAAATAATAAACATGTTATACCCACCTGCTCTGCCCATTGGTATCAAACAGAGCTGCCCCAAACCTCCTCTTCTGGGGTCACCTGCAAAATTGGCTCCTCCTTTTTTGTATCTACCACCATAGCACACTGCTTGATATGGAGGCAGACATGCAGGCTCACTTCCAGGCTAGGCTGTGTGTGTCCATTGACACGCACAGCCTGGCACAGCCCTACCTCCCCCCCCCCTCCTCCGGCTCTCTGTCCACGGGCCCAACATTTGACTGACAGCAACAGCAGCAGGTGCCAGTGGCTCCTACTTCTATTTTACACAGTCTTTCTGTGAGTTGTGAGTAGAAAAGGGGAAAAGAACCTCAGACGGGCACAGCGCTGGATCAATGGGGGGACACCAAAATGTTTTTTTACCTTAATGCAAGGAATGCATTAAGCTAAAAATGTTTTAGCTTTAGTACCACTTTAAGTCCTATTGAGTATAAAAGCTGCCTGTATAAATTTTTAGACCCTCATTTGTATCAATCTATGAGTCTCTACTGGTGCGAGAATTATATACACCTCAATAAGCAGTGAAACAAATGAGCATTCATCTTCAAAACATGTTAGGACTGGTAGCTTCCATATTTCTGTCTTAACCGATTCACTTCATAATGAATGACAGTTGTTGTATGCAAAGTTTCATACTTCCCGGTATTGGTGATCTCTTTCCCCACTTGCCTATTGCATGTTCTTACTGGACACCAAGGCCTCTCATCATATGCACCATATACATATGTACCATATGACGTCCTGTGAGCGATATGTTGGGGGATGAATCTAGGAAATGACACTATTAGGAAGCTCTGAAATTTGCAAATTACATTGGCCTGGGATAAGGGGCTTCTATGCTGCAGACAAGCACACCTAAAGGTATGTGCAGGCAGCACTCTGTGCCTGCATTGCAATGTTTGTGCTTGTCCCAATTAGGAGTTCTACATGTCATTTCTGTCTGCTGCCTTGTTCCTCTGCTATCAGCATGAGACACTTCAGACAAGTTTTCCTGACATCAAGAGAAAAGGTGACAGGGAGGGACCTTTGTTCCTCTGCGCTGTGTGAAAAGGGATGTGTCCCTTCCCTCCAATCAGCTCTCAGAGCTTTCCTCAGTGAGCTTTGCTGTGTGTAATTTCAGTTTTCTGAAAGCTCAGGCAAGCTTTATAAATTCTGGATGTCGAACGGATGCAGAGAAGAGATGACTGCAGATAAATAGATACAACTGTGTATCACTTAAGGTCAGTCACATCACTGGGTATTTGTAAGGGTTTACAACCACTTTAAAGTGTGTTCAGTACCTTTCTGGCATCAACAGTTGCTATGTTAGTGCAAAACAATACAACCTTAATACCAGGGGTGGACTGACCATTCTGGCACTTGGGCACTGCCCAAGGGCCCGGGGTCACTAGGGGGCCCCATGAGATGCCCCTGGTACCTTTCATAGACTTTTTTGGGGGTGGTTTGAGTGTGGGCAAGGACACAGAGGCCCCATGATCCCCTATTGCCCGGGGACACCATGAGTTGTCAGTCCACCCCTGCTTAATACCCAATTTCAGCTCTCACCCCCCCTATTCCTGCTCCCCATACTTCCCCATAATTTCCAACATACATCTATAATGCTGCACTTGGCATAGCCTTTTATCCTTACAGATGTTGGAGGATTTATTTTTTTATTTCCTGAACCAGGAGGTAGGGTTTACGTCTGCCCTAACCCTATCACATCCAACCAATTACAGCCATGTCCCTGAGTTTTGCCCCATTGTTAATTTCAGTGCAATCTATGGGTTCCTAAAGAAAAATAATGTGTCACTGATGTATTTTTTGTTTTTGTGAACATGATATATCAGCCCCGGTTCACACTGGTGTGACTTGTCATGCAATTTGACAGTTTAAAATCACATGATAAGTCTTACCCTATTTGTGCTCATGGAACTGTTTAAATCGGTGCGACTCCAACTTGAAAAAGGTATCTGCACTATTTCTGGCAATTTCATGTGCGACTTGTATAGACATCTGTGCATGAATTGTCACATACAGTATGTCGGCAAGCTGTACATGAAATCACACTGACTGGCTTTGAAATCACGCTGACGTAGCAAGATTTTAAAGCCGCATTCAGTGTGAACTGGAGCTAAAGTTTAATCCATAATAGAGTCACCGATTTGATTTCTTTTTCACTTTCTGCAGCATTTGGTAAACATACAACATTTGGCAGGGAATGTGGGCCCAGTGGTGTATACGAGCTTCAAAACTAAGTCAACAAATAAATCCAGCAGTAATGGTCATTGGTCTGATCGTTGATACATATTACCCAGTATTTAATACATACTGACATGTGACACTTTCATCAACTGTCTTACCTGACAAAACTATGAATAAAACATTACGCACTTGTTAATTTTTAGCGTTACGTGTGGTCAGGTCTAGTCTGACTGATGAGTCAATTACTCTGAGAAACGAAATTTACTGGTAGGAGAGAGCAAGAGATGATGTCACTGTCTCCAGTGCCTTCTCTTAAATATGATTAAAGTCATAGGGGGAATTATTGACTGGAAATACAGAAAACTAAGAAACAGGCATGCCATGGTAAGTGATTCCATGAAAGCAAAAAATGTAATATACCAAAAAATGCTTCAACTAACTTTCTCTCATCATCCAGTGCATATGTTGGAATGAAATGGTAACTGGCCTGTTAAGTGTCAATCAGTGCCTGTTGGTGGGCTTCTGTTTGAGACCGCATACAATCTTTGTTGATGCAGTATGTAATTGGCCAAATGATTAGACAGGGAGTAACTATCACTTGCAGATTAATAAAGGAGTGCAATGTTAGAAGAAATGGTGCAAAACAGGTTCGGGATGGCAAAGAGCATTCATACACTGCAGAATAATAGAAAACAGATTATGAAAGCTGCACAAACATGGACTCTTCACAGCAATGTCTCTGTTGTTCAATAAGGGTAACATGTGGCTGCATAGCATAGTATCTATATAATTCTACGACAACAGAGAATCTAGCTGAGAATCACTATGATAGTAAAACTGAAAATAAATATTTGTCTTTTTACTTCCTCCATCGGCTCATTCCCCCACCGTTATTTCCTTTTGTATCACTTGATCCTCCCTTGTAGATTGTAAGCTCTAATGACCAGGGCCCCTGATTCCTCTTGTGTCCAATTGTATTGTAACTGTACTGTCCACTTTCATTTTGTAAAGTGCTGCACAAACTGTCGGCGCTACATAAATCCTGTATCATAATAATAATAATAATCCCAATGCAATTCAGAACACAAACAGCTACCTGTGGTTATCCTCATAAGCAACATCTCCTCAGCTGGGGGTCCATGATAGCTCTGGTAATGCAAGTAAATAGCTGGAGGGATCCCAGGCCCAAATATAAGGGACCACCCCAATGTAGCACTCTGCAAGCAATTGGGGAATTGTTTCCCACAGTAGCTGTGTTCTCCTGAGAAGCTGCATGCTACCAGGATTCTGTCTGATGTCCGCATGCTGGTTCAGACAGCAGAGGGCCGCTCACCTGACTGCAGATAGCTTGCTCAGCTATCTGTGCCTCAGAAAGTGTGGCTTTAAGGTCACATAACTTAGATTGTAAGCTCCAAGGAGCAGGGCCCTCCTAACCCACTTGTATTGAACTGTATTGTTGCTGTATTGTTGCTGTATTGTCTCTCATTCAGTGGCATCCCGAGGCAGGTGCGGGGGGTGTGGCCCGCACCGAGTGACACCGTCCGCACGGGTGACACCGGACCTGCTCCACGAAAAGTTAAGTTGTAAAGCAAGCCGATGATCCCCGCAGGATGGATCGGTTCTGCGGATTGAGCATAATGGATCGGACTCCGATCTGCGGGGATCGTCGGAGGGGGTGTCAACAAGTGTTGCCGTGTTGACACCAACCCCAGGGATGCCTCTGCTCCCATTATATTGTAAAGCACTGAGCAAACTGTTGGCGCTATATAAATCCTGTAAAATAATAATAACTGGTCACATTGTGTGATACAGTATTCAGGACCCCTTTGGTAGTCTGTGCCTATAATGAATGGAGGTGGGAAATACAGTACAGGTCCACTTTAATGTTGATGTGGTTACTTGGAATTTACTATCGGGAAATGAAGCAGAGGGAAAATCACATTCAAATATATTTTACTATGTGGCAATGTCAGCAGCAAATACTACCCTTTTTTCCCTATTAACTGTTTAAGCCCGATGCACTTGTTATGGTGTGTGTCACAAAAAAAAATCACATTAATCATATTTTTTTCATGGTTAACCACATTTTTTTAAGTTTGAATAAATAATGCAAAAAAAAAAAGTGGTACACCAGCTCATCCCATTTCCTTTTGTCCAATACGGTGATCCTGGAACATACCAGCTGGAGATGTTGGAACACCCTCCATGCTGCCTCTCACATACAGAAAGCCTGGTGTAAATATTGTCAGGTCTAAGTTGCTTTTCAAAGAGTTCCAATGCATGCCTGCTCTATATGTATTCATTGCTACAGTACACAGTATATACTGTATGTCCCAGATTGCAACCCATATGGAAGTAAAATATATTTGAAATATATTTTAAAAATCTTCTTCCCAAATATATTGACATATATTTGAAATGTTACAATTTTGGCCATATTCAATATATTTCAATATAAATATAATAATATATATATATATATATATATATATATATACTGTATACATACTGTATGTTGAAATGCGTTTTTATTACAAAATATATGAAAAATATTTTTAAAAATACATTTCAAATATACTGCATGTCTTTAAAAATACAAATCTACATTTTTGGAATGCATTTACAACTATATGCAAAAATATATGTTAAAATTAAATTTTTATATGTTAAAAAAAATCTGATGACTATATTTTAAAAAAATATATTTTTAAAAATATAATTTATCATTTTAACATATATTCTTACATATATTTGTAAATGCATTCCAAAAATGTAGATTTGCATTATTAAAGACATAGTATATTTAAAATGTATTTTTAAAAATATTTTTCATATATTTTGTAATTAAAACACATTTCAACATACATTTTATATAAATATAAATATATATATATATAAATATATATATATATATATATATATATATTGTGACAGTGTGGCGATCTGTCACAATCACGATGTGGAAAGGTTATTTCACCCAGGATTCTCAACAAGGCAGGTTGAGGGGCTCCGGGGTACATGTTTGATACAGAGGAAAGTGGATTTTCACTTTCCTCATTTGTTTGTAAGGTCCATTTTGGGACCTGGAGCCTGGAGATTTCAAAGCAATTTGGGAGGGATGAAATCTCCAATCCTGGGACCAGGTTTTGGGAATGGCCAGGATACTGATTGCTCAGGTGTGCATGGCTCTTTTGTAGAGTCAGGACCAGGGGCGGACTGACAACCCATGGGGCCCCCGGGCAATAGGGGATCATGGGGCCCCTGTGTCCTTGCCCAAACTCAAAAAAGCCTATTAAAAAGGTACCAGGGGCCCCCTACTGACCCCGGGCCTTCGGCATTGCCTGAGTTTCCAAATGGTCATTCCTCCCCTGGTCAGGACCAGGATTCCGGGCTCCACCCCGGCAGACGGAGTCAGGAGGGCTCCACCCTGGAAGACAGGAGGTCTCTGCCTTGGAGTCAGGAGGGCTTCACCAAGGAGAGGTGGAAGCCAGATTAGCTGTGTGCTAGTGGCCAGCTGTGTGCGAGAGCCATATTTTGGAAAGAGTCTGTAGGAGACAGACATAAAACTGTGTACAAGCCAGGAGGCTGAATTTTCATTTGCATGTGTTTGATGGTGGATACCAATACGTGGGAAACTTTATGGAACATTTTCTTTAAATAAAAGTGGGCTAAAAAGGCCTTAAAAAAGAAAGCGAGTTGCTGTGTGCGTTTAACAAAGCTCTACCTTTTGAAGTGAGTTCCCACAATATAAATATAGATAGATTTTTTAAATATATTGAATATAGCCAAATTTGTAGCATTTCAAATATATGTAAATATGATTGGGAAGAATATTTAAATATATATTTCAAATATATTTCAAATATATATTTCAAATAGCTTTTATAGGGTGGTTTCATGTGTATTTGCAAAAGTTTGCAAAAAAAATGTTGAAAAAGTTTAAGTAGGCTTTTTGTGCTGACTAGCTGGGGAATGTTTGTATTGTTCAGTGTACACTACGATGTGTCGGAGTCATACCTTACACAGGTCTGTGCTGTGGACTCCCTTATGTGATAGCACTGAATGTAATAGGCCAAGGTTGTCATATGGAGTGGATGACATGCTCTTCCATAACTGGAAGAACTGGTTTCTTCATATGCTCCTCCATATCTGGAAGAACTGGTTTCTTTATATGCTCCTCCATATCTGGAAGAACTGGTTTCTTTATATGCTCCTCCATATCTAGAAGAACTGGTTCCTTCATATGCTCCTCCATATCTGGAAGAACTAGTTTCTTCATATGCTCCTCCATATCTGGAAGAACTAGTTTCTTCATATGCTCATTCAATATTTGGATGATCTTTGGCTCCCAAAACAGAATGAAGAGGCAGAGGAACAAAGGAAAAGGACATCTATGCAGGTGAAAGGCAGGGGTTTAAGGAATAAATAAATACAAGAATG